ACCTTTCTTCCAGGCTTGGACCCGCTCCAGCTCCTGCTTCTCCGGTTCCGGCTGGGTTGCTGATGATGCCTTCTCCTGCACAAGCTGCTTTCAAAGACTGTCGGAATGCTGTGATGGGATGATGAGCTGCTTGTGCGTAAAATCGTATCCCCTCAGAGTTTGTTCAAGTCCACAAACCTCTGTCTGTGACGGAGCCCCTCAGACATGGCTACTCTAGTCACTAGCAGATTCCGACAGTGGTTGCTTTCGTAATCGCTTCCAACATAAAAGCTCCTTAACGGAAACACGTCTTCTGGAATCTCTGCGTGACAGTTTCCGGCGAGGAGTGGGTGTTCTTACAGGAGGTCCTGAAACCTCCCCACTGTTTTCGCTGGAAGTGTCTCTGAGCCATCCCTCCAGCTCAGCTCCTCTCCCCTGCTGGTTCCCTCTTCAGCTGCTGCGTCTCTCCCAACCTGTGTGAGCCCTTTCACCTCCCTGTTGGTTCCCTCTTCAGCTGCTGCGTCTCTCCCAACCTGTGTGAGCCCTTTCACCTCCCTTCCGTCCGATGGCAGTTCCCTGACAGCTGATGGTAGCATCCTTTCTTGCCAACTGGACAGCGGGGTCGGGGGAGCGAGAGTCTAGGGTCCTCCTTAGCTGGCCACTCTGTGACCCTATCTTTCCCCCCTGCAATCTGAAATAAAAGCCGAACTTCTACTATTCCTGTTTCCAGTGGTGCATGGAAACAGGAGGGGTGAGCAGGAGGTTATCTCTACCATTACTTATCTTCCTTTTAATCGGGGAGAGAGGAGAGGAGAGGAAGCAAAGCTATAATCATGAGTGACAAGAACACCACTCAGCTTTCTGAAAAATAGAAAGGGTCCTAATTCTGTTTCTAAAATAAAAAACAAAAAAGAAGAGCCATCTTTGTGTCTTCCAGTAGCTGCTGAAAACTGTTCTGTTTTAATGAGATTTTCCGTTTTTCCTTTATTTATAAAATTTCTTTACCGCCTTTCATCCGAGGACCACAGGGTAACTTACAATATAAAAACACCAAAATGCATAGCATAATAACAAACAAAAACAATAACCACACCCACAGTTTTAAAAGCCATGTATTGTTAAATAGATTATTTAATTAGCCAAAGGCCTGCGAGAAGGGGGATATAGTTGCCTGGTTCCTAAAAATATGTAACCAAGGCTCCAGGCGAACTTCTCTGGGGAGAGCATTCCACAAGTGGGGAGCCACTGCAGAAAAGGCCCATTCTCGTGTTGCCTCCCTCCAAAACTTTCATGAAGGAGGCACACAAGGGCCTCAGATCATGAGTGCAGGGTCCAGGCCGGCTCACATTTCATATGAAGCGTTTTACCCATTATGCTGTGTTCCATTGTTCATCTGCTTTATCTTGTGACTATTTGGAATGTAATTAATGAACATTAATTAAAGAATGTTAGAGTGATGATGGATTGAAAGTAAGTGGTTTCTAGCTGTACAGGCTTTAAAGTTATATACAGATCAAGATTAAGGATTAGGATTAAAAAGGTTAAAAGAATGGAAAATTGGCTATTAATAGATAAAAATTTAATGTTATACTATATTAAGATTAAGGATTGGGATTAAAAAGGAGGGAAAGGAATTGCTGGACAAACAAACTGAATTGGAATACAAAAGAGGGAGGTATGAGGAGGTCCAGAAAATAAGTAAATTCAAAAGCAGTGATGAAAAGATGGAATTGTTTTTAACTGTTTTTTCTTTTTTTCCTGTATTTTGTATTGTGTATTTTTTATTATTTTTAAATTCTTTTCTTATTGATGTGTCTCTTTTTATGTGAAACTTTAATAAATATCATTTTTTAAAAAAAAGTAATTAATGAACATAATTATTGAATTATTGTTTTTAATGAAAGTCGTTGGTTGTGTTGGCAAATTCTTAGCTGGAAATAGCAGTGGGGTGTCATATATGATTAGAAACAAGAAATAAGGCTGAAATTCTGATGCCAGCCTTAGGATACAGTGTAAATGCTGTTCCATCACTGGAATGGAGCTCCCTCCATGGGGCAGCACTTACGCCCCTCAGGAAGCCCTAGATATGCCCATGGGGTGTTCCATAGGCATAGACATATTACCAATGGTGGGTCACTGCTGCTAGGGATTTGGAAATGGGGCATGTCAGGGCCATGCTGGGGTGGATCACAAGATGTCTTAGAACCACAAGATCCAGTTGATCAGGAAGATGGTGTTTGACCTGTTTTAGATAGGGCCAAAATCCATCCTATTAAAGGACCAGGAACTACTATTAATTCTGGCCTTAAGTGTGTCCTTCAGGTTATCCCTTGTTTAGACTGTGTACACATCACTAGCGTTAAAAGATTGTTCTTTATCTCAATTCAGATCAAAATTGGTTCAGGGGTTGGGGCATATAATAATGTGTAAGAAACAACAGGATAGATAGGGGTTGTGGCTGTCGTCGCTGTGTACACCACACAGCCCTGCTTTTCCACTGTGGATTTGTAAACAGTCAAAGCAATGTTTGAAAACAGAATGAAAAAATATTTGGGCTGGGTTAAAAATGGGCAGATTAGCTCCCTGTAAACCATATTTACAAGAGATATTTTCAGATGTATTTTCAGGAGAGCTTTTAGGAGAGCAATGACAGGAACTGTGCGGCTAAGGAGCTCCTCGTCACCTGCTAAGCTGCTTATATTTATAAAGAGACATTTTCTCTCAGACAATGTCTACTGCTCTGTTCAACAAAAATGTGGATTTCTGCTGGCTATCCATGACAGAAACATTACTGAATAAGTGGCCACTTTTGCAAACAGTGCATGGACAGAGGATTTTATATTGTTTGTGGCTGTTAAATTCTAATCAAGCCTTCTGATTCCCGGATCCAGCAAGTGTTAAAATGTAAGCCAAGCTAGCTTCCTGGGTTGAAGGTGATCATCTGGGTGATAGGCCAATAAGAGAACAAAGAAAGGAAGCTCTGTGCCAGACAGCAAATGGGTTGGGGCCCCTCCCTCAACTCAGAGATAATTATAAGGACAAAGCCTGAATTGAGAGGGCAGAGTTTGCTGTAATGTGAGGGAAAAGCTGCAGACTGTAAAACCAGAGAGGCAGAGCACAATGTTTGATTTCGGTTTTAATCCAAGGCTGCAGCTATGGAAGTAGCAGGACCTACTTGGTGTTGATGCCGTGAACCCCTCCATCATAGGCTCAGGTTGTATATGTGTGTAAATAAACCATATATCATAAAGACACCACATTCTCCGCTATGTCTCATTCCCAAAGGGAAACACGAAACCTGAGTGAGAGCCTGGGACCCCTGGAATCTCACACTGCTCAGAGATTAGGGTAGCATGCAAGAATACCTTGGCAAGACAAGTTTTTATGGCATAACATTGCTAACATTTATAGTATGTTATGTGAAAATAATAACTTTTCTATGATGTATCGTTTAAACAAACTTAAATAGTCTTTCTGCCTAGAGCCGAAGATGTGAATTTGCAGTATGTTCATATTTAGGTTTTAAAAGCTACCATGCCACATTCAGAAAGCACACAACATTCCCCTAAGGGTAGCTATCTCTGTTCTAAATGCTGAATTGATCTGCAATTATTTGATGAATTATTTGATGGAGATTTTCTCCCTATTTTATGGAGCATCAAAGAACAGATGCAACTGAGGGGCTGTCAAAAGCAGTATAGAGCCAACTTTGATCCGTTTTGTGCCATTTGTGAAAGTATTGCTATTAGCAGACACCTTTTTCCTTACTAAATGTGGACAGGAGTTTTACTTTAGCTGATTCCCGGAACACATTAGAAATCCACTTCACAATTTTTGGATTCCCTTACCAGAACTATAGCAAAGCCTGACCTCTTGTGGTAGGTAGAGTGCAAAGCAATTGCTTCACATAAGGCAACCAGCTGCATGATCGCTATCAGATGGTTGGATCTAAACACAGGAATACAACACTGTAAATAAGTCAGAAATTAGATTGTTTTTGCCAAAAGGAAAAACTACAATGAGAAATCCCATTTTAAACAATTCTCACTCTTTGGCGCCTTCTGGTATTCTATGTTTAAAACGCATTCAAATCGCGTTATTGTGATGAATGCAGCTGAGTGCAGTCCATAACGTTAAAAAGGTGTACATAGGTTATTAGAGAGAGAGAAAGGCTTATAGGTCTGGAAGATAATGGGAAGGCCATCTAGCCCAGTTCTCACCCAGAGCAGGACCCTCCTTGCCTGAAAGCTTCACTCATTTGACTTCTCACTTGTTTCTGAAGATTGAAAATCTTCTTGTAGAAATGGGCTTGTTTCAGTTCCTAGCACTGCTAACAATATATGATACTCAAAGCATAGCCTGATTATCGATGTTCAAATGGTAGCCACTTCCTGTCCAGTTAAGAGAGTCCATTCACTCTCCTACTTCAATTCCATACTCTGTCTATGCCAAAAAAGTTGAGTGTCTGGACTGTAAATTCTTCAAGTGCAGGATACCAACCCAATACCTTGTGGCAACAGAATGTATGATACACAATTGTATATGATGCTCAATATAATTATTGCATTTATATTGCATCCTTCCTCCAAGGAGATCAGGGCGATGTACACAGTTCTCTCCCTTGCCCTTTAATTTTCAGAACAACCTTGCAAGTCACCCAGTGAGTTTGCATAGATGGGCAGGGATCGGCATTGCTATACAGTCGTACCTTGTTTTTCAAACAGAATGTGTTCTGGAAGTCCGTCCGACTTCCAAAATGTTCAGAAACCAAGGCACGGCTTCTAATTGGCTGCAGGAGCATCCTGCAGCCAACCGGAAGCTGCGGAAGTCGTGCCGGACGTTCAGCTTCCAAGGCAAAGTTTGCAAACCAGAACACCTACTTCCGGGTTTGCGATGTTCAAGTTCCGAGTTGTTTGTGAACTAAGCTGTTTGAAAACCAAGGTACAACTGTTCCTTCCTGGAGAAAGAATAGCTCATACAACACACACACAGAGAGAGAGAGAGAGAGAGAGAGAGAGAGAGAGCACAGTTGCTAGAGCATGAGACTCTTAATCTCAGGATTTTGGGTTCGAGCTCCACGTTGGACAAAAGGTTAGAGAAGGCTTCATGGAGAAACAGAGAGGAGAAGGTGGGCAGGTTGGTGGGGAAAGAAGACACGTTGCTTGTTTCACATTTTCTTTATTGACTGCCACTGGCTGAGTTCTCAGATTGCGCCAGACATCAGTAAAAGAGGTGGAGCTATGTTAGAATTACAGCAAGATTAAGGAAGATGGTGTGATAACACGCAGGCCTGGGGGAAAGCTCAGTAGGGATTTGAAGCCTCAGCACTTGTGATGGACCCCGGAGTGGGTCTGCAAAGACCATGGAGAGATGTGCTTGTCCTTGCACCAGCAGAGGAAACGACAGTTGATGTTGTAAATGGATGTACATGTACTTGTTTCCTCTCTTTCAACTTTGCTAGAAAAAAGTTACAACCCTTTCCAAACACTTTTTGTGGTTTTTCCTCCTTTTAAAAAGTGCATGGCACATTCGTTACAAGTACCACCCACTCTTTCTTCCTCTTCTTCTCCCCTCTCACTAATCAGCTTAGCTCTCGCTTGCTCTTAATTACTTTAGGGTCGAACAAGCCTGTACTGTTGCTTTCGCTGCACCAAACTTAGCATTAACAATTGATGCATTGAGAGCTAATGCTGCTGTCTGGCCAGCTCTTGTGTTTGGGGCTTGGCAGATGTTTATCCAAACTAGCACAGCATCCTAGACCATGTCAGCAAGTATGTCAGATCTGCTGCAGCACCCTTTCGCCTTCCACGTTGTCACCCCGACATCACAAGGTTTTAGGCTTCAGCTTCAAAGTCCTCTAGCCGCTCACCCGGCCTCTCATTCCATCCAAGAGAAAAATTAGAACAAAAAAGAGAAAGAGAGAGAAACCCTTCTAGATATTCACTGATATCTATGTAATGGCTCTGTGAATGAGGCCTGCAAGTGAAGTGTGACAGCCTGGATGCTCCTTCAGCAGCAGCAGGTTCAGCCTAGGAAGAAGGAGCCGAGGTTGGCTTCTCCTCACGGGATACAGGGATGGGTCTCTCGCTGTGGCTGGGGTCAGTGTTGGACTGGACCTTGGGAGCCGAGAAGGTCAGCATGCCATCAGCAGAGAGAGAGCAGGTGATGGCCGCTTGGTCCACATTGGATGGGAAGCGGTACCGACGGTGGAATTCACGGGAAATATACCCATGGTCATCCTGACAAGAGACAAAAGAAATCGAGAGCATTACTTTAAAAAAAATAAAAATGCAGCTGTCCTGTGAGATAAAGTAATCAGTATTTTAACTGCAGAGATAGAGAACTCAGGCTGAGCGGCTTGCCAAACGCCTCCTCAGCTGTAACTTAAAGGGGAGTCTCGGATACAAAATGGAGTTCTCAGAGTGGTTTAACAGTCAATCCCTCCTCAAAGGGAACTCTGGGAATTATAGCTCTGGGAGGGGACTAGGGGGTCTCTCAACAACTCTCAGCACCCTTAACAAACTACAGCTCCCAGGATTTTGGGGGGAAGTCACAACTGTTTAAAGTGGCATGATTCTGCTTTAAATGTGTAGTGCAGATGGTGCCTAAGATTTCCACTCACTGAGCGTGGTTGTAGGCCTTGGGGTATTCCTGCCTTCCAGATTTTGAAGGCTTTCCATTTCAGATGTAGTAACTTTCCAAGTTCAAGGCTCTTGATTCCTTCTTGTGTCTTGTTTTAACACTTCTCATTTGTGCTGGCTTATAAAAGCTCAGCCTTTGCAGTTGATTCAGAGCTACTGACCACTGGGAAATCCTCCCCAATTGGGCTTCTATTGACTTTTTACCTAGTGTACCGCCTAAAATTAATTTCTAGCTTTGCTAATTTAAGACTAATTTGTCCTTACTTTGTTCTTTGCCTCACAAAGAAAACATTGGAATGATTGGATTGTGATACACACACAGACACACACACACACTTTCTTTGTCCTAAGAGTCATGGACTGACCTGAAACCAATTAGCACCCAAGGCAAGCTAATCTCATTTAGTCTTCAAGTCTCCAGCCCAGTCAAGCCATTCTTATCTCTCCACAACCACCCAATGCCCAACTTGCAGGTTTTACTTAACATCCAGCTGGATGAAGGGTTATGAAGAACTTGAAAACTTGCTCATTATTTTTTTATACCTCGATTGGCTTCAATAAAGGTACTGCACTACTGTAGATTTTGGATTTTGTTTTCTATGGACCAACCCAGCTATCTATCCTGTTTCAGAGCTATTAAAGTGCAGACATTTTCTTGGAGTTTCAGATTACATTACATTATTTCTGTACTGAAAAAAATAATTACCCAGTGATGCGCACTGTCATCTAAGTGCTATGGAGTACATGATGAAAGAAAATGGATTTTTAAAAATCCTAACCATAACAGTATGTATCACCAAATCTGACATTTGTGCTTTCCAAAGCAGATGCATACACCTCTGAGCTAAATCTCAGTAGTTAATGCTAAATAAAATGAATTTTTCATTCCAGCTGAGTAATTTGTACTTTCTTTATCCCTTCTGCTTACCTGTCTCTCACTGTGTTTGCCATGAATTTCCACAAAGTCTTCAATGACCTTCACACTCAAATCTTCAGGAGAGAAATGTTTTACATCCAAAAAGATTGTAAACTTGTCCCGGTCAGATCTTACCTAAAAGTGAAATAACAAGAAACCACCCCCCAAACAGAATTAGAATTCAAACCGGTTGTTACTAACACTAGGCAACACTAGGCAATTGTTTAAAGAACAAAGTAGCTTTTAAGTCATATCATTTACTCTGTGATTATATTTCTCAGATTCCCTGTGAGATAATTTGTGACGGCAAAATCATTAAGACATGTTCTTAAACCCTTGAAATTAGCAAGTGTCTTTTTATTATTCTTTTCAGTTTTCAAAAGGATTTGTTTTGAAAAGCAGGTGAGAATTCAGTCTACAACTTGAGTCAGTTCACTCACAATTGGCACCAGTGACTTAACTACTGGTATTCTGGATTGGCAAGTTTGTAGGTTTGGGTGTGATTTTAGGATGCTACATACAATTGCCTAAATGCTGTTTGCAATCCAGCTTGTGGCTTCCATTCTTCACTCCAGTTATGACCACTGTACTATTCAGTTTCCGCTGAGTCACTTCAGCATTTATCTGTTTTGTGGATAGATTATTTCTTGCCCCCGGCAACCCAAAGGGTAATCAAAGGCTTTTGGCAATTTTTGCAACTTGCCCGTATGACTCTAAAAACCTGGGCATGCACAGACACTGCAGGAGACTTGAGTTTCATGGCTAACTTTTAGAAGCTGCCACTGCTTTTCATCGGCAGAGCTCTTCCTAGATTTCTGAGCCGGTCAGACCATAAATGTATGCAGAATATCCAACAAAACCCAATATGGTCACACGTCCTATTGGAATGTTCTGAACACAGCCTGAAAAGTGACATTTTATGAATAACCTTTGAGCTGCTCTTCCCAAGAGACCACTATGCAGCGCATCAAACAAAACTCAAAACCCACATTTTTAAAAAGGCAACAAAATGTACTTGATTAAGTAAGAATCTGCTTCATTTTTAGGGGAAGGGCCACAGCTCAGTGTTACGGAATCTGCTTTGCATGCACAATGTCTCAGGTTCAATTGGATAGCTCAGTTAGTTACAGTGTGGTGCTGATAATGCCAAGGTTGCAGGTTCGATCCCCCATAAGGGACAGCTGCATATTCCTGCATTGCAGGGGGTTGGACTAGATGATCCTCAGGGTCCCCTCCAACTCCACAGTTCTATGAATCCATGAAATGCAACAATATACAAAGTCCCCAGCATCTCCAGGTAGGGCTGGCAGAAACCCTGTAGAGCTACTGCCAGTTATTCTGGACCAGGGATTGGGAATCTAGCTATCCAGACAGTCCTGGACTCCAATTCCCATCATCCCTAGCCACCATGGCCAATGGTCAGAAATGATGGGAGCAATATCTAGGCCACAGGTTCCCCATCCCTGATGTAGACAATACTAAGCTAGTCAGACCAATTTCTGACTCAGAATAAAGCACCTTCCTATGTGGTTTTGTTTTTTTTTTAACCCACCTAATTTGTAAGTGACACAGAGATCATCTAAACCACAGTTCAAGAAGGACACTGAGAAACTGGAACGTGTCCAGAGGAGGGCAACCAAAATGGTCAAAGGCCTGGAACGATGCCTTATGAGGAATGGCTAAGGGAGCTGGGCATGTTTAGCCTGGAGAAGAGGAGGTTAAGGGGTGATATGATAGCCATGTTCAAATATATAAAAGGATGTCACATAGAGGAGGGAGAAAGGTTGTTTTCTGCTGCTCCAGAGAAGCGGACACGGAGCAATGGATCCAAACTACAAGAAAGAAGATTCCACCTAAACATTAGGAAGAACTTCCTGACAGTAAGAGCTGTTCAACAGTGGAATTTGCTGCCCAGGAGTGTGGTGGAGTCTCCTTCTTTGGAGGTCTTTAAGCAGAGGCTTGACAACCATATGTCAGGAGTGCTCTGATGGTGTTTCCTGCTTGGCAGGGGGTTGGACTTGATGGCCCTTGTGGTCTCTTCCAACTCTATGATTCTATGATTCTAAACATGCGACACACTCCCTTCAAATAGTTAAGAGATGTTAAAATACGATTTTCCAATTCTGCTTATTTTTCTTAAAACTGTTATCACATAAATCCTGAACTACAGTTTCTGTCAAATATTGTTCTTTCTAGGACCTTATCAATCTATCCCGTTCAATATGGGATTAAACTGATTAAACCATGCAACACACCTGGTGGTGTGCAAAAAGCTTGCTTTAAAAAAAAAAAAAAAAGAGCTTCAAATGTATTCAGGAACACGAATCTTACCTCAGAGACACCTGACTCCAGAACGGTGCGGAAGAGAGATTGCCTGTAGTATGGGCTGATGGTCGAGGAAAGCAAAGGCAGGAGATCATATTCAAAAAGACCTTCTCCAAAAAACTGATCAAACAAACGGCTTGGAATTAAAGGTCCAAGAGCCCGTTTGAACCAGGGGTGCTGAATGGTAATATCCATGGTCTCTGCTGCTGCAAGTTTGGCGGTGGAGAGGAGACAGTGCAGTCACTTTGTGACAGTGAAGTCTTTGCTGGACTGCACAGTGGAGGTGTAGAAAACTTCCTCTATATATACGACTTTCACAGAATGAAGGCATTAGTGGGATTTCTCTGGAAAGACATGATCTCATGATGAAGGCCAATCTGGTCAGCAGAAATTGTAGGGGCTGACCCGAGAGTGACAGTCTGGTTAGAATCAGTGCCAGATATCTCTCTGAACAGCAGCTGGCTGGCCTGCAGCATTCTGCGGACATAGGAGGGTATCACCACGGCCCGGCAGTACAAAACACCAACCCTCACCTACACGAGCCGTTCCAAAAGACTGTTATTGTCGCTGACATTACTGTGGAACATTTTAACAAGAAAACTCACTAGCCTTTTTTTACTCGCATGTTGGTTTGGTGTTCGCCCGAGAGGGAAGAAAGCAAATATTTTACACTGTATACTTTACCTCTCCACCCCCACCCCCCCCACCACACACCCAAAAAAGAGAGAGGGTTTCCACTAAATGACAGAAAATAGGAGACATGCTTCCAGACTGTTACTGGTTTCAGGTAGGGTTCAATCATACGCTAGCAAATTCAGGCTGAGTATTTAAAGTTGATTTGAAATAACTGGCTTGCTCTGCTCCCAGCACCTCATGCTGGGAGGCGCAAATTTTGGGCCCTTGGAGTGGTGTTATCCTCTGGGAACTGAGTCACTTCACTGGATAGAGAAACATTCCTGAAGGCCTCCCAGTTGCGAAAACTGCAAAGAGGGCCTTGAAACGCTTTTGAGGTGTTACCATCCAAGGGAGGTCTTGAAACAGGTCCTTATCTGGAAGCCTGTCTGTTGTCTGCTGCTTAGAGCATTCTTTAACACAAGAATAATTATTTTTGTACTATATGGTTCTTTGCAAGCATTGCTGAAATGTAGATTTGGCAGTTGTAACGATATTTCGTTTACTTTGTGACAAACTTCTCATTATCAATATACTGTTGGTACAATAATATATTATACCATATTGTTTCGCTTTAAAACTTCAAACTGAAAGCTGTCATGTAGCTGTCCCTTAAATGTAGATGAAGCAACCCAGGGCCGTCAAGATGTTGTCGAACTCCATTGCCCAGCACCAGCACCGAAGATGAGAATTGGTAAGTGAGGACGGAAGTTGCAATCCAGCAACATCTGGAGAGCCACAGGTTCCCCATCCCTTCCTTAGTGTGAGACAAAAATCCACATAGGCAGAAATCCGAGGCTTGCTCTGGAATTCAGTCATCCAAGTAACTGAATGAGTGAAGCTGCTCCATCCTTGCATCATCTCTGAGCTGTGCCCCCCCCCCCACCCACAAACCTTCCTTCCTCTAGCTGGAAGAGGAGATATGCATTTTCAGGTAAGAATGTCTCCCTATCTCTATGGGATTTTGTGGTGGCTCTCCCTTACATATTCATGGTCCATCTACAATGGGTATTTGTCATGCTAATTTTAAATTTATCATGTGCACAATGGCCTGCAGAGTGTCAACTGAGAAATTGCTGAATGTTAAGCTTGCATGGTTATTCCATCTTCTACCCTTCACAAGAAACAGGGAACTGGGTGGGGAGACCCCTAGTGCTGTGCAAGGCCACGGCCAGACTGAACTTTGGAAAAGGCTTGGTATCAGCTCAGTGTTTTCCAAAACTGGATCAGATCAAAGGCCTGTCTAGCTCAGCATCCTCTTCCCACAGCAGCCAACCAGATACGTATGGGAAGCCAGCAACCAAGGCCTCCTGTTTTTAAGGGCATATGTCTGAGCATTAGCCTTGTCTTGGTTCCTGCCCTTTAGGACCATACAATTTTACCTTCTACCATATTTAAAATTGTTAGGGGTTCATTTTATTGCAGCATGTGCTTGAATTTGGAGCAGCTTTTCCATTTGAGCTGCATGTTGGAAAAGCTAAATATCAGCTCTCTTTATACAAAGGCAGATATTTATTTTATCTAAAGAATTTATATAATGTCAACAGTCTGCCTGGGCCCAGCCAAGGGGGCTTAAAAAGTTACTAGCAATCCCTTTTTTCCACCTCAGAGCCCATGTCCTGAACACTGAGCAAATCCCATCAGTGCCCGGGGCGTATAATATCATTGTTGTCAAATCAATGGTGAATGTACGTGGTGTTAATCCCTGGCACATATTCAACCAAGCTCAGCAAGTTTCAGCAGCACAATGCACTCCATGTCTTCATCAATGGATTTATATGGTGAATGAGATGCTCAACACTTCAGCCCATGGACCTTCAGGACAGTGGGAATGGGGAAAAGCAAGATCACATGGGAAGTGCTACAGATTAAGGAGAGGGCTGCACCTTTGCGCACAGAATAAGATATAAAGGGCCAAATTTAAGCACACTCCTGCCATTTTGTGTTGAGTGCATGATAACATTTTCAGCATTGAAACCACGCTGAAATGTGCTCAACTTTGGTTGCATCGTGCCAAAGTGAGCAATGCAGTATATCTTCTATCAGACGTAACTTTTGTTGTTAAGGGTCTGCTGAAGCATTGAGCAATCATGGCTTTCCTGGGCTCAATGGCTTGAATACTTGCTATTAATAGTAAAACATTAGAGATGGCTATTACATAGTTTGGAAAGGAAAAATAAGATGATGCAAAGGAACTGTGTAACGGGATGAGCGACACAAAGTGATTGCTGTACCTGCTGGCAGCCTTAGGAAACAGAGGGTCACAATTCTCTTCCTCTGGGGATTCATCCCCACCCATATCCAAATTTGCTAGAACTGTAGGAAAGCCAGTCTGAGCCCTATGGCACAATATACACCACTAGACCATCAGTCAAGCCCAGCAAGAAGAACAAGGAAATCCTCATTAGACTGGGAGGATGATGCACAAAGTCTTGGAACTTTGGTATTGTACAATTTTGGTATTGTACATCTGAAGGCAGCTCTGTTTAGGGAAGTTTTTAATGACTGATGTTTTAATGTATTTTTAATCTTTTGTTGGAAGCTTCCCAGAGTGGCTGGGGAAACCCAGCCAGATGGGTGGGTAGAAAAAATAAATTATTATTATTATTATTCCCATATATTTGTGCCTATGTCATGTCAAATGATTATGTCCCTGCAATGCCTGCGAGGACTTGTCCATTTGCTGTAGTCAGGACTCCTTTCCATGACTTTATTTGCTCTCCCAGTAAGTCTTAGACCCGAAGTATGAAGCACAAAGACATATAGCTTAAACTCTGAACAAAGTCAAAACATAGTACCATGAAATTCTGGAACCTCCATTTCCCAGCATGGTTCCGAAAAGGCAGAAATCCCAACAGTGGAAAGAGGGTCGTGGGCAAAAAGACAACAAAGGCAATGGAAGGTTCTGAAATGCTATACGTTTTTTCCACCTCCCACCCCCACCCGCAAAAAGAATTTCCCTTGAAAACAGCTACAACTATTATCTGCTGTGAATGTTGTTACAAGGCCTTTGACATGGCTGCTTCTAAATACAGAATCTCAGATTTCACATGGCCAAGCTTTCCCTTCTATTATCTCCACAAACTGCGGTTCAGACCATTTGTTCAGTGTGTACACAGCACAGCAGAAGCAATGTGCCGTCTTCAGCTGAAATCACAACATGTTCCACATCCATCTAGCGGCCTATCTTCCCATGGATTATGGCCTGGAAAGGCTGGTTTTCTCTTCTGTGAAGCCTTCAAAACCAATGTCTCACATGGTGGGAAGATTTGTAAGCCCCAGACCCTTCTTTTTGTCTAGACAGAACTTATATAAGTTGTCCATGTGCCATACTTTATACAGCTCAATTTCACTATATAAATGTGAACTGGCTGCAGACCTGAATGCTACGCATAAATACAGGGAGAACTGCACTTCCCATTTAGGGACTTAATCAAGTCAAGGACAGAAGCTCATACATCTCCGTGGGTTGATAGAAGCGCTTCCAATTCAAGTACAGAGCACACATCTCCATGCAGGTCAGCATACACAAATCTTCACTCCTGACATTATGTATAAATATAGAAAGTGTGATTCATTTGCATTTCCTGAATCCAACCACTTGTAGAAGCAAAGGTGGCCAATGTGGTGCCATATATATCCAATTATCCTTGATCCTTGGTCATATTGGCTGGGGCTCGCGGGAGTTGTAGTCCAACAATGTCTGGAGGGTAACACCATGTTGACTATTCCTGTGTTAAAGGGTACAGTTCAACACATTGATGGATAACATAGCTCCTACTAACATGTAGTGAAGTGTGACAGAAGCTTCCTTGTGGTGACATTGTAAAGGGATATACTGCATTACAGTAATTACAGTAATCCATCCTTGAGCTTACCAATGCATGGCTCACCTTGGCCAGCTACCCTTATCCAGGAATGATCACAGCTGGGTATTAGCTGAAGCTGGTAGAAAGTGCTCCTAGCCAGAGCAGCCATTTATGCCACAAGGGACAAAGACGGCTCGAGGAGCAGCACCCAGACTCCAACACACCCATTCCTTCTGTGAAAGCGCAACACCACCCACCCAATTCTCAGATCAGGGAACCACTCTTCCACATCCACAGGGCTTCTGCCTTGTCAGGATTCAGCTTTTGGCCCTCATCCAGTGCAGCACTGCGCCCTGAATACGGTCTTCTAGCGCTTACAACCTTATCCCACATCTGGTCTGAAAACAAAGTCTAGTAAAATTCCCAGCATTGGCATTCCAGTGAGGACAGCTGCTTAGGAAAGCAATGTGCCAGGAGAAGAAAACAAGCAGGCCTCTTGTCATTGTTAGCGGACCAAGTCAAGTGCAATGTGTCACGCTTCAAAGCATTTGTTGTTTTTGCAGTAGCTTTGAAAGAGAAAATGTGTGTGTGAAAGAGAAAAAGTATTGCTTGGAATGATCACTGCATGAGAAGATGTGTTAATGCCCTGGTGTTAAGATAAAAGAAATAGTATGCTGTTCTTATATGATAACAGGCAAGTTTTCTCCACTGGAC